GTTTTTCGAGACAGGGTTTCTCTGTGGCTTTGGAGGCTGTCTTGGAATTAGCTCTTGTAGACCAGGCTGGTCTCTAACTCACAGAGATCCTCCTGCCTCTGCCTCCTGAGTGCTGGGATTAAAGGCATGCATCACCACCACCTGGTTCATGGGAGTCTCTTAATCCAGTCAAGCTGACAGTCAATATTAACCACCACGGAGACTATAAAAGCCATCAGGAGGAAGAAGGGCCATTGGGGACAGAGTACACAGAGGGGTGCCAGTCGTATCTGTAATTCCCCTTCTTTTCCCCCCTTTTCCTCCCCCCAGCCCCTTCTGCCTCTTGCTTTGTTTTGTGATGTGGTCTTACTGATTGGCCTTAAATTTAATATGTGGCCCACACAGGCCTTGAACTCACGGTGGTCCCCCTGCCTCAGTCTCCCCGGTTTGGGGTTGTAGTGTGTGCCTCCACACTTCGCTTCCCTCTCCCTTCCCTTCATTTATTTATTTCTAAGCATTTACCTATTCATTGGTTTGTTTATTTGACACAGGGTGTTACTGTGCATCCCTGGCTGGCCTGGGACTAGAAATATAGAGTAGGTACCTGGGCCTCGAACTCACAGAGCTCTGCCTGCTTCTGCCTCCCTAGTGTTAGGATTCAACGCGTGCACCACCACACACACACCCCCGCCATTTTCCCTATTTTTAAGGAAAACCCAGCCAGTGGGGGGGGACGTCTTAGTGAGTAAAGAACCGCTTGACAGCCACAAGGGCCTGAGTTCAGATCCAAACACTCACATAAAAACCAAGCAGTTCAGCCGGGCGGTGGTGGCGCACGCCTTTAATCCCAGCACTCGGGAGGCAGAGGCAGGCGGATCTCTGTGAGTTCGAGACCAGCCTGGACTACCAAGGGAGTTCCAGGACAGCCTCCAAAGCCACAGAGAAACCCTGTCTCGAGGAACAAAAAAAAAACCAAGCAGTTCCCAGAGTGCCGAAGAGTGCAGCACTGGGAAACAGATGGGGTTCCTGGGGGCTCACCAGCCATTCAGTTAAGTGAGAGGTCCAACTAAAACCAAAGTGGAATGAGATTAAAGAGTGCTATGGGTGGCTTCTTGTCCCTCCAGTTCCCGCTGCCTGCTCCAGCCCTAAATGAACACACGGATGCTATATTAATATAAAACTGTTGGCCAATGGCTAGGGCTTCTCATTGGCTAGCTCTGTCTTAATTATTAACCCATTTCTATATATCTATGTATTTCCACGTGGTCTTGGCTTACCAGAGAATGCCCAGACTGGTTTCTCCTATCCCTGTGGTCTCTCTCTCTATCTACCTTTCCTAGAATTCTCTGAGTCTCCTAGTCCCACCTATCTTCCTGCCTCATTGGACAAACAGTGTTTTATTCATCAACCAATAAGAGAAACATATGTACAAAAGGACATGCCCCATCAAAGGAGGACACCCCGACATCAGCCTCTGGCCTTTCGTGTGCTCACATGCGCAAGCACGTGTACCTGTGTACACACACACAATTTGCTAAGATATACTTTCATTAGTATGCATGTGTTTGTGTCTGTGTGCGGTGCTCTTGAAGGCCATGTCATTTTGTTCAGAATTCTGCAGGCTCTGGCACAGGTTCCAGTGACCCCACTGGTTTGTACCTATGGTAGCAGGAGGGGCATCACATGGGGAGCCCATCATGGAAGGACTGTATGGCAGAGCAAGCTGGCACATGGTGAGCCAGGGAGCAAAGGCAAGCAGTGGATGAGGGTTCTGTACTCCCTTTCAGGATCACATCCCCAGTGACCTACCTGACGACCTACTATTAGGTCCCGCCACCTAACCATTCTATTTTCCAGTAGTACCAGGCTGGGGACCAAGCCCTTGAGACATGGCTTTTGGAATACCACCCAACATCCAAACCATAACAAAATTCCTTATGGTTATTATTTATTTATTTATTTTTCCAGGCAGGGTTTTTCTATGGGGCCTTAGCTACCCTGAAACTCACTCTGTAGATCAAGTTGGCCTTTAACTCACAAGAGATCCACCTGCCTCTGCCTCCAGGGTGCTGGGATTAAAGGCTCGTACCACGACTGCCCTTATGGCTATTCTTATGAAGGTTATATGACCTCAAAGCGTAAGATGCTGGCTAGCCTAATGTGGTAGTTTAAGCCTGTAGTCTCAGTACTCAGAAGACTGGGGCAGGAGAATTGTGAGTGGTTCATAGACCCTGTCAAGACCATCACTACCACCACCCCGACCCCCCCCCCCACATACACACAATGTCTATGCTTCAATGCCAGGAATGTAGCAAATGTGGCACATGCATTAATTTATTATTGTTGTTCCTCATCCTCTAAAACTCCATTGTGGTCTCTGCACAGCCCTACCCAAACTGTTCCAAGTTACATCCACCTACCAAGGCCAAAAAGGGAGAACAGGCATCTAGCCCCATTGAACTGTGTAGCCGACCTTGTGGTCGCTTTTTAACCTATCCTGTTTTCTTATTTACTCTTGCATCCCAAATGACTAACAATAACAGATAGATAGTCAGAAGATCAAACAAGAGAATGGAGAACCAACCCTTTTTGTCCCAGTAAACCCCACTGGTGGCCTCTCTCATTCTGTCTCCCTCCCCTCAACCCTGAACCCAACAGACTGACCTAAGTTCCTCTAATCACAGGGGAAATGCATGACAGAGCCAAGATTCAGAACAGATAGTCTTCTTTGGTAATCTAAGATGCTCATCTTTAGGAGACAAGTTTACAACAGGATCTCCAATGGTGGGTTTCACACACACATGCACATGCAGGCACACACACACACACACACACACACACACACACTCATACACACATAGTGAACTCAGGGAGGTCCCATCTAGTGAGAAAGGGGGAAGTCTAGAGCTCTGAGGCAGTGAGTGTTCTCAGGAAAAGTTGTGCTTGAGGCATGTTTGAAAAACACAAATCATATTTTGAATGAGTTAAAAGAATGTTTTTAATTTACTAGAGAAGCTAGCTTGTTTAAATCCTATTGTGTCTAGTTTCTTAAGACTAGAGTAAGAAATCCTTTTGTTAAGTAAATATTCAGGCCCTTCCTTGCCAAAAGCTTTTGAAATCTCTGTAATTATGCTGATGTTGTCTATGTTTATATGTTAAATGCCTAGAGCTTAATTGTTAATGGGTAAATAAGAAGCCAGTAAGGCCTTGCCAAAAGAGGCCCAATAACTGAGGTTGGAGAACAATGGCTCTGCAGGGCCTCCGAGAGAGGGTGTCAGGCAGTGAGGGGAACCACAGCCAGTGTGGCCTTTGCTTCCAGTGGCCATTGCCCCTGGAAGGGCCAAGGAAGAGGCCTACAAAGGCAACGTGTTAGTAGAAGAGAAGATGGGGCCAGAGCAAAGGTGTCATGCATTTCATAGGTGACCACTTCCCACAACTCTAGGAGGATGGAGGCTGACAACTGGAGAAAAAGGTTCTGTAGGCACTTACCAGGGGGCCCAGGACTGGGACAGGTCAAAGCTAACCACCCATGGCATACAGGTACTCCACACTCACCGCCGGGGACTGCACATATCCCCTTTGGTGTGTCATCTGACCTTATTCCTCTAACAATGGTAGCTCACACCTTTAATCCCAGCAGAGGTGGAGGCAGAGACAGGCAGATCTGAGTTGGAGGCCAGCCTGAGTTTCAGGACAGCCAGGGCTACACAGAGAAGCCCTGTCTCCACACACACACACACACACACACAGGAGAGCCTACTTCATAGGGGTTTTATGAAAATTAAGTGAAGCAATATTGTAGAAAAGCGCTTAGACAGTAAGTTAGAACAGAACTAAATAAACATCACGTTACATTTCCATACGTCAAATTTATCTGGAACAGAGGTATAAATCACATCTTACAAGGATTAGGGGCAGTACCGGGGATTCCATTACCTGCACTGTAAGAAGCCACAGCAGAAAATTCGTCTTAGAGTTGTGGATCTTGGCCAGCTTTCTATACCTGGTATGTGTGAGCTGTGAGCTGGCCTCCCTCCACATCCATGCATGTGGATTTAAATAGAGCAGCTGTTCTCATTGCCACATCATCTCTGCAAGAAGGCTCACAGCACGGAGGGGCTTGCGGAGGAACTCCCGCACACTTCCACTGAGAGCACAACATTATCCATCTGGACCAGCCCTGTCTTTCAACATTCAGTATACAAGGAACTTCTCCACCTCAGGGACTGGGAGCCCCAGGGTCTTGATGGGAGCAGGGTTCGCTGAGGCTGTCAGGCAATGTCCTTGGTGTTCTCCGCTATTCTAGGCAAAGCAGTCTTGAACCCAAGTCAGCCACAGATTAGTTGTGGGAAGCCATGACTGGAAATTCCCGCAGTGTGTTGGCTGAGGACATGGAAACTCAGCTAAAGCAAGATGGCTCCTTCTTGAATTTGGCTCTGCAGTATGGCTCAAAGGTAACCAAAGATAACATTCTCCAAACAAAGCGAAGGAAGAAAAAAAGCACAACCAAGACCTACCAAGCTCAAAATTTTAGAGTTGAAAGGGACATTTCAATCCTGAGATATAAGCAACTAGCGTGAGATGCCTGTGCTTCTAGGCATAAAGCATCATAGGGCAGATATAAGCGAACATGGACTCCTGGCCAGGATTCCTGTGGACAGCCCACTCCTGCTCCCGGGACAGAACTCAGTGCCATCTGGGCTAGGGGAGGAGGTCAGCAGGACTTTGTGACTTGTTGCTGTGGTCAGGGGGGACCTATAGGAAGCCGCTCCTGCCTTCCCAAGCGTAGGTGGCACAAGTCCTTTCACTAGCTTTTCTTGTATATCACTTTGTGTCCCAAGGCCTGGTCACAACACTGGTCTTACCTGCTCCCATAAACACATCTTTAAGAAAGGACAGAAAGGGGTCTGTGGGCATTTGATAACCAAAGGCGCAAGCTCAAATGGAAAGCTGCTCAGTGGGGCTTCAGGGCTGTTGAGTTGAGAGGAGCTAAGAATGCGGCTCAGCGGTCCAGAACTTACCCAGCATGCTGCTGCACACTCTAGTGTTGAAGCGGTGGAGGCCGGGAAATATGAGAGAAATAGATGAAGGCTGAAGCACCTGGCCACACCAGCCTGTTCTCACGCTCTTCTCTGCGGCCATCCTTCTTTTGGGATACCCTGTGGAAGAGAAGAAAAACAGGCCCTCCGTAACATCTGCACTTTCTCCCCTCCGCCTGGAGCCCGCCCGCTCAAAGGTAGGTCCACACAGGAGCTGAGGCCCTTAGCCTGTGTGATACACAGACATGTAATGCCTTCCCTGCTCTGACCTTCGGAAAAAGCTGGTCCAGCCGGGCAGTGGTGGCGCGCTCCTATAATCCCAGCACTCGGGAGGCAGAGGCAGGTGGATCTCTGTGAGTTCGAGAGACCAAGCCTGGTCTACAGAGCGAGTTCCAGGACAGGCTCCAAAACAATACAGAGAAACCCTGTCTCAAAAAAACAAAACAAAAAAAAAAAAAAAAAAAAAAAAACAACCAGAAAAAGCTGGTCTTGCTCAGTCTGGACCTCTGGGAAAAGAGGAGACCCTCAGGGACCAGGGACCTGGTGATCACCGTCTGTCCAGGTACCTAGGGCTCTCCATCTGTGTGACTCACCCTCAGTCCCCCTCCTCTTTCAAAGGTACCACTCAAATGACATGAATACTGGAGACTTTCCCAGCAAGGGCTCTGGGAAGCCACTCAGAGGTATCCAGGTCAAGGAAGAATGGGGTCTCATCCCCTGTGGGGAAAGGATCCCTCACCAGGGCTAGAACTTTCTTAGAAACAAAAGCCAGCCACTGTGGGATCGCTTGCTGAGTTCCCAAAGCAGCCGGGGAGTAGAACAAGGTAAGGAAAGGGTTGAGCCATAAACACAAGACAAAGAACAGGCAGTTCTGAGGAGCCAAGAATGCAAATCATTTGCAGGCCTCGGTGAGATGCTCAACCAAGAACCCCGCGTGGGAGGCGGGAGTGCCTGCTACCACTGCAGAGGCCTTTTGTGTGTGCACATCAGTTGCCCTATGAGCCTGCCTGTGAGGGTCCCTGCTGAGTCACCCTGTGTGTGTACTGATGGATCAGCGGTGAGTCACAGAGCGTGTGTCAGAGTCTGCCGGTGTATGTGTAGGCTCCGGTGCAAAAGTGTCTAAAGGTTTGCCTGGGGGAGACTGGCGGTGTGCGGTGAATGAGAGCCAGCGAGCCAGGAAGAGTGAGCACAGGGGGAGGCTATGTTTAAAGGGCACCACACTTCATTCACGCTGTATATCACACACCATGTTTCTGAACACCGTCCAGCAGGAGCCATCTGTCCCTTCTTCCTGCCGAACGCTTCCCCTCACCCTCCGTGGAGCAGCAGTGCCGAATTCTTCAGGCAGCAGGAGGAGAGGACTCCTGGAATCCTACAATTCAACCCCCCCCCGTGCTCTGCAGAAGGGACCATAGCAAATGCCACTGCTGTGGCCTAGGAGAGCGAGGTGCAACCTAATACAGAGACCTGATGAGGTCCCTTCTAAAATGCACTCAGGTCCGGTCTTAAAAGCCGGAATGGATGAATAACCGAGAAGCCGTACCAGGCAATCTTAGACCAAGACTCATTTACGTCTTTCCCTAGATCCTGCTGTTTTTGCTCCACCCAGCTCAGAAGTCTCTTGGCGCGTCAGCCTGGCCCTTTGGCAGCCTTGACCTGAGTGATTCAGATGTTGCTTCTAAGACATCACACACATCTCATCTGTCTCATCTCACGGGATTGCTGATGCGCTCATCTTGGTGGCCATTTCACAGCTCAATTTCCGTGGAAATGAAACCAATAAAACAGGGGTTGACTTTAGCAGTTCCAGAAAAAATGGGGTAAAGCTTCTGAACCTATTAGCTCTTAAGATCAGGTTTGAAATTCGTGTGTGGGTTTCAGTTATCTGGTCCATTCCTTCTCAGGTCTCAGAATTGACCCACACTTCTGGCACAGTATTGACTATTCTCATTTCATATTAGCTAAGTAGTTACACACACAGCACTGCTGAGGCCAGTCAGTAGTCTCACCCTTCCCAGCATCCCCAGCTAGCAGAGGTTTATTGTCTCACTTATCTAGAGACTTCAAAGGCACTAACGTCTTGTCATTGATGATGGAGGCTGCTGATATGCTCAGGGCATCGCAGCAGAGGAAAGAGAAGGGCAGAACTATGGCTGTCTGTCAGGTCTGGAGCTAAGCTCCATTCAGTAAACTGTTAAAAACACACCTTAGAGTAGGGAGGTGGTGGTATACACCTTTAGTCCCAGCACTCGGGGAAGCAGAGGCAGGTGAGTTCAGGGTTAGCCTGGTCTATAAATCGAGTTCCAAAACAATTGATTGAGACCCTGTCTTGAAAAACCAAAACCAGACCAAACAAACAAACAAAAATATGTCCTAGAAAGGTCAGGAAGATGTTTTGTGTTGCTGACAGACGGACACAGGAGATGTTGACATAGGAACAGTCTTTTGGTTCCAATATGTAAACCAAGAGCGTAGAACTACCAAACGTTTCCTTGGACATAAACAGATATATTTGCATGCAAAGTTATTTATTTTAGCATTACATGTAATAAGTATCAAAAAAAGCTATAAACTACCAGTTAGAGAAATAGCTTGGTATGCCCACAAATAGAAGACAGTATCTATAAACAGTGACCCAAAAATGATAACTATTAGCTTTAAAACAGAATGTAAGGCCCAATGTGGTGGTGTACACCTTTATTCCCAGCACTCCAGAGGCAGAGGCAAATAGATCTCTGTGAGTTCCAGGTTGGGCTGAGCTAGCTATTTCTCTCTCTCTCTCTCTCTCTCTCTCTCTCTCTCTCTCTCTCTCTCTCTCTCTCTCTCTCTCTCTCTCTCTCTCTCAATAAATAAATAAATAAATGATGATGATAGTTTTTTGTACTGAAAATTAACTTTAGTCCCAGCACTAGGGAGGCAGAGGCAGAGGCAGAGGCAGAGGCAGAGGCAGAGGCAGAGGCAGAGGCAGAGGCAGAGGCAGAGGCAGAGGCAGAGGCAGAGGCAGAGGCAGAGGCAGGCAGATCTCTGTGGGTTCCAGGACAGCCAAGGCTACACAGAGAAACCCTGTCTCAAAACAAAACAAAATTAAAAGGGATAGCCGTATTTTAAAATTTGGGAAAATGTGTGCGTGGAAAAGTGTAGAAAAATACATGACTTTAGTTACATTGCTTACTGGAAAAAGCAGGGTTGAACTAGGAAAAAGCAATTTTTTATTTATCTATATTGACTGATAAAATGATTTTCTACAAGCTCAATAAAGTTAAAATGTATTACAAAAAGAAAAGGGAGGAAGAAAACAAAAAACAAGCTCATAAATGCTTCCTGGCCACCCTCAACACAGGCACTTGCTCCCATGTGAAATGCCTGTTATGACATTTGGAGAGTTGGCAGCCATCACCAGAAAGAACATGGCACATTTGGCCTCTGCTGCAGCATCCGGAACAAAACAAGGACTAGGGCTGTCAGCTCAAAGACAAATACTGATTTGCATAAATATGTGACATAAAGTTATTCAGTAATGAGATATCTCACTCTAGCAGAAGAAGTCAATTACAACTAGTGCAAATTTCTGGCAACTGGGCCCTCACCCTGTTTCTTATCCAGGATGCTGGAAATTCAAAGATACCTAGACCCTTAAGTCACACAGAGTCAGAGAGGGAGAGAAGACACAGGGTAAGTAAGTGCCTGCACTAATCCTACCTGAGTCTTACAGCTACCTTGCAAGCTAAGAAAAAGAATACACATAGCCGGGCGTTGGTGGCGCACGCCTTTAATCCCAGCACTTGGGAGGCAGAGGCAGGCGGATCTCTGTGAGTTCGAGGCCAGCCTGGTCTACAGAGCTAGTTCCAGGACAGCCTCCAAAACAATGCAGAGAAACCCTGTCTCGAAAAACCAAAAAAAAAAAAAAAAAAAAAAAAAAAGAAAGAAAAAGAATACACACATGCTCATGTACGCATACACAGGCACATATACAAGCATGCATATACACATATACACACGCACACATACATGCACACACTTGTGCACACATATGCACACACACACACACCAACAAGACAAAACTGAATGGAACCAGGTGCAGGCTTTGGTAGACTAGCTAAAGCCCAGAAAATAAACAGCCAGGGCTCTCAGCATCCAGAGTGTAGCCTTATCATGATCTCCTTACATGCTTGGCCATGACGCTGCCTCCTGCTGTCCTGCCTGGGTGAATTATCTACTCCATGAGGATCTGAAGCTCTGGGAAGTAAGTTTAATTAGGATATTTCATTGCAAATAAAGGGGCCCTCAATCAAACCAGCAAAAAGAAAAATGACTTATTTAGCTCTTCAAACTAAAATGTCCAGGAGTAGGTGGGTTCTGGCTTAGTGAGATCAAGGCTAATCTAGTGTCAGCCAAGATTGCCTGTCCTCTGTCTCAACTTCCCTTCTTCCACCAAGGTCACTGATGAGGGCAACAAAGCTCCCAGAAATCCCATGTGACATGGTTCCCTGTAACTATCGAGTCCAGTGGAAAGAAAACAATGCATTTTTCACTTCCTTCTCCTACTGCTTTCACCTCTCCGGTGCTGAGGTGACAGGCACATGTGTACTGTACCACACGTGGCTTATGCAGAACTGAGGATCAAACTCAGGTCTCTGGAGAAGCTGGCAAGCAGTCTACCAACCTTAGCCCAGGAAAACACTTTTCCCAAAAGCTTCAACATTGTGTTGAGTCTCAGGAGCCCGGCTCAGGTCATGTGCCTACTTCAGCATTATCCTGGTGATCTCTGCGGTCAGATTGGGCCAGTCCCTGCCAGATCACATGCTACGTTAGTCAGTTTTCCATATCTCTACAAAATACCTGAGGTCATTTCCTAATAAGGAAGACATTCATTTTGGCCCCATTTTGGAGGTTCCATTCCGAGATTAGCATCTGGGAGTGGGTACCAGAGGGCAATGAGAAGCTTCGATGTTGGACCACAATGGCTCATAACCATCAGCTACGGAGCAGAGAGGACGGAATGGACTAGGGTCCCGAAATCCTTTTCAGTGGCATCCTCCCTACCCAAGCCACCTAAGGGCTCCTAGTGGGCCCACCTCTCAAAGGTTCCCCCAGGGGACCAAGCCTACACATGGACTTTGAGGGACACACAACATTCCAGCTTTGGAACATGAGCTAGAACTATATAAGGGGCAGACAGCTCTTCCAAACTTGGAGGCAAAGTAACCAAAGGAAAAAAGAAGTTTGCCGAGTAAGCAGGCGACAGGCAGCTATCACAACACCACAGAGAGACGGAGAGACCTATGAGAAACGGATCATGTAACCATCACTGTGTAGCAACCATGAGTCCCTTGGAAACTGCCCAGTGATAGAAGTTCT